GAGCGCGCCGGCGACCGCGCGGCCTTCGACCGCGCGCTCGCCGCGGAGCGCGCCGAGGTCTCCGCGCTGCGCAAGGAGCTCGCGGCCGCGCGCGGCGACCTCGCGGCGACGCTCGACGACCTCGCGAGCACGCGGAGCGCCGCGGGCGAGAGCTCCGCCGCCGCGGCGGAGCGCCGCGCGGCGCTGGAGGCGTCCCTGGAGGCGTCGCGGTCGCGGGCCGCGAAAGAGGAGCGGGACCGCGAGGCGACGCAGGCCGCGCTCAACGCCGAAGCTCGCCAGCACGTCGCCGAGGCGCTCGCCGAGCGCGGCGTGCTCCGCGCCGTCGAGGACGCGGCCGTGGCTTTTGCGATTGGCATCTGCGACGCGCGGGTCACGGAGTGCAACCGCCGCGAGTCGCTCCAGGCGACGCACTCGCGGTCCGCCGAGGGGCAGCTCGAGCACGCGCGCGTCGCCATGCGCAAGGCGAACCGGTCCGCGAAGGCGCGCGCGCTCGCGCGCGGCAAGGTCGTCCTGTCGCGCGGCGTCAAGGCCGCCGACGGCCGCCACTACCTCGTCCGCGCGGTCGCCAAGGCCGAGGCGCTCGAGCTCCGGGCGTTCGAGTGCGACACGGGCGCGGCCCGCGCGCTGGCCCTGACGCCGGCGGACTGGGCCTTCATGGGCGGGCCCGCGGAGATGCCCGACCCGAAGAAGGACCTGTTTGCGCTGCGGGACCTCGCCGCGGATTTGGCGAAGCTCCTCGTGCTGGAGAAAGGTGCTCTCCGGCTCCGGGGCGCGAAGCGCAAGTCCGACGCGGAGATCGGCGAGGCGCGGCAGCTCGCGGAGGTCTCCGCCGACGCGGCCGTGTCATCCGCGTCGTCGACGGTCGCGGTCATCGGCGCCGCGCGGACGACGCTCGGCGTCGAGCTCCTCCGGTGCCGCGCGGAGGCCTTGGTCTACGGGAGCCAGCGCGCCGGCTTCGCGGCCGCGTCGGCGACCTTCGAGGCGCGGCTCGTCGGCGCCTTCGAGGAGACGCGGGGCAACGTCGCGTCGGCCCTCGTCAAAAAGAGCCAGAAGCCGCCGCTCCACAAGTTCGTGCTCGAGGGCGAGCGCCTCGAGGCGATCCGCCTGGACACGCTCGCGGCCCAGGACGCCATCGCCCACGCCGTGGCGCTCCACAAGAAGACGGCCGAGGAGTACCGCATCGTCCACGAGGCCGCCGAGGCCGCGCACCGCGCCATGGAGGCGGAGCGCGCGCGGGACAGGGCGCGCGACGCGGAGCTCGCGCAGCTGGCGTACGAGAGCGCGCGCAACCTGCTGGACCTCCTCGAGGAGAAGGACGCCGCGGAGCGGGAGCGCCTGCGCCTCGAGGAGCTGGCGGCTCTGCGGCCGCCGACGCCCGAGGTCGCGCGCCACCCCTACTGCGCGCGGCCCTTCGCGGCGCGGCGGCCCGCGCCGCTGCCGCCGCCGCAGCCCTTCGGCGGGTTGCCCGGCGGCCTCGCGCCGTCGTCGCTGCCGCCGACGGCCGTGCGCCGCAAGGAGAGCCTCGTCCACTTCCGCCAGCTCGGCTACGTCCAGGGGCTCCACCCCTACCTCGACGAGTGGAAGGCGCTCCTCGCGCGGCACCGCGACGCCTACGCTTCCCCCGTCGCGCTGCGCAAGGCCGTCGCGAACGTGCGCTCCGTGCACCGGACGCTGCCCAACGACGTCGTCTTCTGCGCGCTGGCGGAGGCCGGCGGCTCCGTGGCCGAGGCGCGGACCCAGCTCGGCGACAAGGGCCACCTCAAGGAGCTCATCGTCGTCTCCGAGGCCGTCGACGTCGACGCGCTCCTCGCGGAGCGCGCGGACGGCGCGCCGCGCGACGTGCCGCCGCCGCGGACCGTCGCCGCGTCCAAGAGCCTGCCGTCGCTCGCGGCGACGGCGCCGGGCACGACGCCGAGCGCGCCGCCCGAGGCCGAGGCCCGGCTCCACTCGTCGACGCTGTCCGCGCCGACGCGCGCGAGCCCGGGCAAGGCGAAGCGCACGCGGAAGCACCAGCTCGGCGCCATGTCCCGGCTCGCGGACTCGAAGCACCGGGCCATCAAGGTCAACGACCTCGGCGACGAGATCGAGGGCCTCCTCTCCGACTCGACGGACGCGGACCTCCTCGCGCCGACGCCCGAGCCGAGCCTCAAGCTCCGGAAGAAGAAGAAGCGCAAGGAGCACAGCCCCTACTGGATCGCCCAGGACGCGCAGCACCGCTTCCGCTGCGACGTCGTCCGCCTCGACGCGTGGAAGCAGGGCACCGCGCGCGACATGAAGATCGGGAACTAAGGCGGTTCTTTTCCTGGCTTCGCTGCATTCGGGGACTTGTTACTGGAACGCGAGCTTCCAGAAGAACGCGAGCAGGACGCACTGCGCGGCGGCTCGACCGTAATGACCCTCGGGATAGGCGATGGGCGGCACGTCGGGGCCCATCTGCGCGTCGTGCGTGAACATGTAGATGTTCGCGGGCGTGACCGCCGCGACGAGCAGGAAGAGGCCCAGGGCGGGCAGCTCCACGGGGATGGGCAGCAGGCCCAGGCCCGCGCCCGCGAGCGACAGGCCGCCGACGAGCTCGGCGACGCCGCTCCAGTAGCAGTGGTACTCCGCGTACGTGAGCCCCAGGTCGTCCTTGCCCGGCGCGGGCACCCGCCAGAGGCCGCCCCAGGTGCCAAGCGGCGGCACGATGGCCTTGAACGCGTCGGCGACGGCGAAGTGCGCCGCGCCCGCCGCCGCGAAGATGAGCCCGAGCGGCAGCGGCCACGTGTAGTCGCGCCACGCGCCGAACCAGCCCTCCGGTAAGACGGCCTCGACGACGCCGAGGCCCGACACGCAGACCGCCGTCCCTCCGAGGATGCCCGCGCAGATGCCGCCGAATACGAGCTGCTGCGTCGCGTCGTCCTTGGCGCTGACGAGGATCGCCGGCGACGGCCGCTCCGGCACGTCCGAGAGCTTGGCTTGTCGTAAGCCGCGGCTCGGCTGCACGATGCGGCCTTTCATGGTGCTCTGGAAGCCATGGGCGACGTCGGCGAGCGCTAGGACTGCTGCAAATGTGACGTGACGGACAGACATGCTATGCAAAATATTTGAGCGACGGTCTCCGGTTTCGGTCGTCGTCGAAGGACCGCGACCGGCGGCTCGCCCGGGGCTCCACGTCGGGCAGCGACACGCGCGGGGCCTGATCAGAGAGCGCTTCACCACATCTTCACCACATCATCCACATCTTCACCTTTGGCTCCTCGGACCTCGCATCGAGCGATGCGCCACTAGCAGCGGTGCGAAACCTGCCACCAGCGACCGCAAAAAGCAGCAAAAAACGACACCGACAACCCACGACACCATGGCGGCCGCGACGGCCATCAAGCGCATCGAGTCCGCGGGCGCCGTGGACCGCCTGCCCTGGATGAGCAAGGTGCCGCCGGCCCCCGCCGTGCTCGAGGTCGCGCGCTCCACGTTCCTCGCCGGGCTCCACGAGGGCGACGTGTGCATCGTCGACGCGGCGACGGCGCGGGTCACGAAGCTCGGCGACCTCGCGGAGGCGGCCGCGGGCCTCCGCGACGACGACGTGTCGGCCTTCTGGTGCTCGCGCGACGGCCGCGAGCTCTACGCGGCGACGGCGCGCCAGCTCCTGCGGCGCTGGACCCTGACCTGGGAGGGCGGCGCTTTGACGGGCTGCGCCCTGGCCTGCACGGTCAGGGCGCACAGGGCGCCCGTGCGGTGCGTCGACGTCGACGCGTCCGGGTGCCTCGTGGCGACGTGCGCGCCCGACGGCTTCGTCAAGGTCATGGACGCGCGGCGGAGCTGCTGCGTGACGCACAGCTTCGCCCACGGCGGCGGCGTCGTCGAGGCCGTCGCGCACCACCCGGACCGCGCGACGCTCGTCCTACTCTCGGTCTGCGGCGCGTTCGTCCACCTGTGGGACCTCGCGTCGTCCGCGAAGCTGCGGAGCTTCGACCACGGCGGCGCCGTCGCCGCCGCCGCCTGGCTGCCGGGTTTGAAGGCGTCGGGCGACCTGTGCGTCGCCGCGGCCGCGCGCGACGGCACGCTCCGCGTCTGGGACGGGAGGACGGGCGCGCTCGGCGCGGGCCCCGTCGAGGCGCGCGAGGACGTCGCGGGCCTCGTCGCACTCGACGGCGACGACGCGCGGAGCCGGCGCTTCGCGACCTGCGGGTCGTCGGGCCGCGTCCGCGCGTGGCGCGTCGCGACGAGCCCGCGCGGCGCGCCGACGGCGTGCGCCGCCGACGCGGGCGAGGCGGCCGCGGCGAGCGGGCCCCTCGCGGCGCTGGCGGCGTTTGGGGCGACGCTCGTCGCCGTCGGCGCCGACGCGTCCTGCCGCTTCCTCGACGCGCGGTCGCTCGCGGCGTCGCGGCGCGCGCTCTGCGGCTGCGACGACGAGATCCTCGACGTCGCCTACGCGCGCGCGGGCGACGACGCCGCCGGCGACGTGCTCGCCATCGCGACGAACAGCGAGCGGCTGCGCGTCGTCGACGCGGCGACGTGGTCCACGACGTTCCTGGGCGGCCACGCGGACGCGATTTTGGCCGTCGACTGCCTCCCGGAGCTCGGCCTCCTCGCGACGGCGTCCAAGGACAGGACCTGCCGCGTCTGGGAGCTCCGGGACGGGGCCTACGAGCCGCGAGCCGTGCTCGTGGGCCACGTCGACGCCGTGGGCGCCGTCGCGCTCGGCTGTGCCGAAACCAACCACTGGTTTGGGGGGTCCCCACCAAACTTGAGAATTCTCTAGCTCGGTCAAATCGAAGTCGCTTCGGCTGATTTTTGGACGAATCGATTGCTCTCGTCGAGCTCTCGAAGCACGGCCGAAGAGCTCGCATCGAAACTGTCGCATATGCTCACATTGAAGTCGGGTTGAAGATTTGAATTCCACACAGGCGCTCGGCGCGGGCGCCGCGGGGCCCTTTGCGGTCTCCGCGTCGCGCGACCGGACGCTCAAGCGCTGGCCCCTCGACGCCGCCCAGCCCCGCGCGGCGGCGTCCGTCGTCGCCCACGACAAGGACGCGCACTGCGTCGCCGTCGCGCCGAAGGGGAAGCTCGTCGCGAGCTGCGCGGGCGACAAGACGGCCAAGCTCTGGGACCCGGAGACGCTCGAGCTCCGGGGCGCGCTCGCGGGCCACAAGCGCGGCGTCTGGCGCTGCGCCTTCTCCGCGACGGAGCGCTGGCTCGCGACGTGCTCGAGCGACAAGACGGTCAAGGTCTGGGCCGTCGCGTCGCTCCAGTGTTTGGCGACGCTCCAGGGCCACGAGGATTCCGTGCTCGCGCTCGCGTTCCTCGGCGGCGACCAGCTCGTCTCCGGGTCCGCCGACGGCGTCCTGAAGGTCTGGAGCCCGAAGACGTCGACCTGCGAGTGCACCGTCGAGGCGCACGCGGGCGCCAGGTGCTGGAGCCTCGCGGCGCTCCCCGCGACGGCGCGTCGGCCCGCGGCGCTCGCGTCCGGCGGCGGCGACGGCGCCCTGCGCCGCTTCGTGGACTGCAGCGCCGGCGACGCGGACCGGGCGCGCGACGAGGCCGAGGCGCTCGTGGAGCGGGAGCAGGCGCTCCGCGACGCGCTCTTCAAGCGCGACTACGGCGCGGCGCTCGCGGAGGCCCTGCGCCTGGACCGGCCCCACACGGCCTGGACGGCGCTGCGGGACCTGCTCAAGCGCGCGACGGGCGCCGCCGTCGACGACCCCTACGACGGCGTCGTCGCCGCGTGGGACCTCGCGACGGCGCGGAAGTGCCTCGGCTTCGCGGCCGAGTGGAACACGAACGCGACGCGCGCGCCCGTCGCCCAGCGCGTGCTCCGCGCCGTCGTCAAGCGCTTCGGCGCCGACGCGGCGCTCCGCGACGCGGCGAGCCGCGACGCGCTCGCGGCCTACACGCGGCGCCACCTCGTGCGCCTCGACGGCCTCTCGCGGCAGACGTACCTCATCGACGCGAGCCTCGGGGCCATCGAGCGCCGCGACGCGCGCCTCCTCGCCGCCGAGGCCGCCCAGCGGGCCGGCCCGGCCCTGTCGAACCGCGCCGCGAAGCGCGCGCGCGACAACCCCGCGCCCGCGGCCGCGCCCGACGCCGTCGCCGTCTCCGCGGACGCGCTCTTCGGCGGCGGCGGCGACGACGACGACGACGACAGCGACGCGCCGCCGCCGCCGAAGAAAACCTCGGCGAAGAAGAAGAAGAAGAAGAAGAAGGGGGGGGGGCTCTAGTCTGCTTCGTAAGCTTGGCGTCGGATGCGATGCCGCGCCGCGCCGAGAGCTCTTTGCAGGTGGCCGCTGGTCTGGTCGTCGAGACGTTTGGCGCGCATAAAGATTTCGATTCTCTATTTCTCTCTAGCGCCTTAGGCGACCCACCCCACTGACGCATGCCCACCCGCGAGCGGTGAAGGCATAAAAATTGCTTGAAAAAATTGCCACAGGCTCTTCGCTCAAAATCTGCTCAAAACGAGTATGGAGGTTGTTAATTTAATGTTGTCAGACGACGACGAGGGCAAAGAGGTTGTTGATTTAATGTTGTCAGATGACGACGAGGGCAAAGATGTTGTTGATCTGGTGTTGAAACGACCTCGTCACGACAACCAGGCGCAGGACGACGCCGAGGCGGCCGCATCGCTCGCGAGGCGACTAGAGGCGGAGGAGGCGGCGCCGAGTGATCGACTGGGACCCGCTCACCAAGGCGCAGCTGCACGACCTCTCCGCTTGCGGCGGGGCGTCGACTGCATGGTCCGCGTCGACGACCTCACGCGCTTCATCGCCGCGGCCGACCTCGCGCGCGCGACGCGCGGCGTTCGCGGCTTTCGGAGATTTCTCCGACGGAGCGTCGTGGACCAGTCCTTCGGGACGACCCTCTGTCGCGCGCCACTCCGGGCGGAGCTGTCGTCGCTCGAGCCCGCGCTCGACGCCATGGAGGCGCTCCTAAGGGAGGCGCACGGCGACGACGACGCGCGGTGGATCCAGCTCTTCGTGAACAGGTACCGGGACGGGACCGAGGACACCGGGCGCCACAGCCACTACTGCCGGCAGCTGACCGTGTCCGTCGGCGCGCCGCGCGTGCTCCGAATCGACGGCCCCGGCGTCGCGGGCGGGCGCCGCGACGTCCTCACGCGGACGGGCACCGCGGTGCTCCTCGACGGCCAGTTCCACTCCGTCCCCGGGGACCGGAGCGCGGAAGAGAGGTACTCTCTCAATCTTTTCTACGCGCTCGCGAGCGACTACGAGCGCACGGACCAGTGTCGGCGCGTAGGTGCCTACGTAGGCGCCTATGAGGCTATGTAGCCTCGGCTCGAGCCTCTGGAGCCTACGCAGGCGCCGCTTTTGAGGGGCTACGTAGGCGCCTACGCGCCTACGTAGCCTCGACCGGAACCTACGGACCTATGACCTACGCGCCCACGCAGGCGCGGACCCGGGGGACCCGCGCACGCAGCGGCGCGGCCGGTCGCTCGTCAGCGCCGCGCGCTGGGCTCCGGCGATCTGCGCCCACAGGGATCCCTGCCGCCGCTGCGGCTTCCACCACGGCGCCGGCGCCTGCGTCGCCGCGCCGCTCGGGCCCGACTGGAACGGGTGAGTGGTGTCCGGGAGAGGAGGGAGTTATCTGAGTGGAAGGGGAGACGTAGGGGGCTATCTGATTCACTGTGGATGGGGGGGGGGGACCTTGCTGGGGATGGTGCCGGTTAGCAGCAGGAGGATGGTGCAGTGTGGGAAACAAAAATCACACTGGGATGGTGATGTTTGCAAGAATCGCGGCGGCGGCGCGAGACCGTGAGCATGTTTCTTCGGGTTTCTCGCGCCGGCGTCGGACCCTTGGTGGTGGCGAAGCCTAGTGGGCCGCGCGGCGGAGGTGGCGCCGCGCGACGCGCTGGATCTTGTCGACGGCGCGGGCGCGCACGAGTTTGGCGCGGCCCTCGGGGGACAGCATGCGGAAACCGGCGACCTGCACGAGGTGGCCGACGGCGACGACCGCGTCGGCGGCGACCGCTTCCGGCTCGAGGAGCGCGTGCGCCGTGCGGCACGCGCGCGCGAGCGTCTCGCCGTCGAGGGCCGACGCGGCGTCCCCCCCGCGGACGAGGCGGTCGGCGCGGACGAGCTGGTCCTCGTCGAGCGGCCGGGCGAAGCGCCACGCGAAGACGCGGCGGAGCCCGTCGAGTTTCGCGAGCCAGGCGAGGTCGTAGGTGACGCACTCGCCGACGAGCACGCGCCGGCCGTAGTAGCGGACGCCGACGGCGAATTGTCTCGCGGTGGAGAAGGCGTCATCGCGCGTCAGTTGCTTCGCGAGGTCGAAGATGGCCGCGTCCTCCTTGTCCCAGACGACGGGGATTAAGCGCGACGCGAGGTCGTCGACGACGTCCGGCGTCCGCGGGTCGTCGAGCGGTTCGAGCTCCGCCGCATGGTCCCTCCACTGCTTCGAGCTCCCGTCGAACTGGTCGTCGTAGACCGGAGCGAACTCGTCACTATCGTCGTCGTCGGATGCGGCGATCATTTTCTTTTCGCGCGGGGGGTCCTTTTCAGCGGCGCATGCGGCCGATGGGCCGACGCCAGCGACGTCCGTCGACGGTCGACGGCGGGATGGGCAAGAAGTCGTGCAAGAAGGCGGGCTGCAAGTTCGACAAGAAGAAGGGCAAGTGCAAGTGAGGTCTTCCCGAGAGCTGCGGCGATCCCCCGCCGACAATCCCGATCCCCCCTCCCCCATCCCCCGACGGGGGCGATCACGGGACCCGGCGTCGCTCGATAAGATCGAGCCGAATCCCGGTGCTCTAAGAGACGTCTTCCAAGAATTTTCTCAAGGCTTCGATTCGCTGCGTCAGGACTTGACGATAGGTTGAGGCCCTTGTCAAACACCCCTCTCAACGCCTGTCATTGATGCTGTCAAAATTGAAAATCAAAACTTCCTCCACAGCCCCTACCTTACCTACCCATCCCCGCACTTCGCAAAACGATCGAGAACTTATGCTTATGCTTCGGTGGGCGGGGAGGCGCGGGGAAACGTGGACGAAGGGTGCAGGGAGCACTTCGGTTAATTCGGTTCCGGTTCGGTCGAGGCCGCCGCGAGACCACCGTCACCGTCACCGGGGATTTGGGGGCGTAACCGTGGAAAACCGGAACCGGAACCGCAACCGTAACCGGGACTTTCAGCGCCTTACCGAAACCGGAACCGTCCCGGAGCGGCTCGCAACCGTCGCGCGGTTCGGTGCTTTCAGGCCCTCCACGCCTACCCAACGGCGTTGTGCGACTTCAGAGCGCCGATTCTTGTTGCGGGGACGCTATTCAGCCCAGTCCCATCACGAAAATCCCACAAATAATGCCTATTTTGAGCCCCACCGGCCTCCACCGGCCTCCACCGGGCTGCCCTGGGGCCTCACCGTAACCGGAACCGTCCTAGAGCCCCAATAACCGTGCAAAAACCGTAACCGTACCGGAACCGTCACCGCGTCGACGGGGGGGCTTACCGTAACCGTACCGAAGCCGGTTTTTTACGGTTTTCGGTGTCTAACCCTAACCGAAGTGCTCCCTGGAAGGGTGTGTACGCGAGACGAAGAGGGCACGAGTGCGGCACGACGACGAAGAGAGCACGAAGACGGAGGTCGACGAAGGGCGGAGGCGCGGGGAGGAGCATGAGCATGGGGAAATGGGCAGGGATCGGAGACCCGGGGAAAAAAGTCAGTGGAAGGGGTTCATCACCAAATTCCACGCGCTTTCAGGTTCGCGTGGAGAAAATCTGTCCCGGGGTGTCGCGCCGCCGCTCGGGCGGCGGCGCGGAGCTTCGGAGCTTGGAGCGCCTAGCCGCGGCGCTTGCGCTTCTTGGGCGGGAGGCGGCTCGGGGGCGCCTCGTCGTCGGCGTCGTCGTCGTCGCAGCCGGGGAGGTCGTAGTCGCCGTCGCCGTCGAAGAGGTTGACGATGGCCTCGGCCGCCGCGCGCTTGGCCTTGCGCTTGCGCTTGTTGGCCGACGAGGGCGCCGAGGGCGCCGCGGGCTTCGACGGCTTCGACGGCGCCGGCGACGCCGCCGGCCCCGGCGACGCCGGGGGCGCCGGCGCCGGCGCCCGCGGCGCGCGCGACGGGGGCGGCGCGTGCGCGGGCAGGGCGGCCCGGTCGAGGTCGCTGATGCTCGGGCGGTCCTTGGCGCGCGCGGCCGGGAGGCGGCGGCAGAGGCGCGAGAACTTGCGCGGCGACGTGATCTTGGGGTCGTCGGTGATCGCGTACTCGTCGGTGCCGCGGGTGCGCTTGTGGAAGCCGTAGTAGTTGAGCTGGCGGACGAAGGAGTCCCACATCTTCTTGAGGTCGGCGGCCGCGGCGCCC